TTTTCATGTTACCAGAACCTGGATTCATTCCTTCCGCGTGGCTTGTTCATGAGCAACAAGCTATCCCAGTAGCTTGTTACTGTTACATAGTTTGTTACATAGCTTGTTGTTGGATTGACAGTGGTTCTCTGGACCCATGACTGGTTGTCATGTCTGAACCTGGGTGGCTGATCTCATTGTGGGTTGTAGGAAGGGGTTAGTGAGCTGCTTGGTGATAGCAGCAAAACCCCCTTGTCGGCTGCCCCACCAATGCCCAAGTGACACAGTGGAACAACTGTCATTGACACACAACCCCCCACCAAAAAACCCTTTTCTTGGGTTTCATCCCCACTCCCCTCTTTTTTCTCCTCCAGAGATCAGCTTTTGCAATCTCTGATCTTGCAGACAGAGACAGCTGCTTCAAAGTGTCCAAACAACGCTTCACCCTGGTTTTTCACTCCCTTTTATTTAATTTTTAATGAAACTATTGTGCAAATGTTTACAAACTTAAAAAAAAATCAGTCAGATTTGCACCGATCCCAAATGACAAACCTTGACTGGACAATGTCTTGTGGCAAGGACGTGTCTGTTGTCAAAGTACAGCAGCTTCCCACTGTGGCTACTGCTCCAGAATGACCAAAAAAAGTGATATTTTTTATTTTGCTTCCTTTTGATGGCTGTCAAAAAAGGAGCTGTAAAGAGAAACCAAACCCAGAGTGATCTTTGCCAGAGTCAGTAAACCATTCCCCTTCACAATAAGGACCTCTTTTTAAAAATGTCCTTTGCAGCTCTCACAACAGGGAAAGTGGAAAATTAAAGGCCACCCCTTTTGCAAGGGGACAAAGCTTTAATAGGGATGTACGGATGCATAAGTGAATAAGGTCCTGTCAAAACACCACAGGGACCCTGCCTAAAATGATGATGATGATGTAGTAATGAGTTTTGACAGCTAGCTGTCAAAGTTCTGTGCTCATATAAAAGGGCTGGTTTTTCCACTTTCTTTATCACATTTTGACAGTTGTCAAGTGAATTTTTTTTGCTGAACTTTGACTATAGACACCACCAGACATTGCCTAGGAAAAGTTTCCCATTTTGGACACTACCCATTACACTGGAGATTGTAAAAAGTGATCTCCAGAAAAAAGAAGGGTTAAAGGTGGCGAGGAAGCATGAAAGGTATCATGGCTGCATCAGTGGGAGAAGAGAATCCATAGAAACTGAGTCAGAAGGGGTCTCCCGGGCCATCTAGTCTGACCCCCAGCCGGCTCCACTCATGACATGGCTGGTGCTGCTACGGATTCTTCTGAGATCTCCACGGGAAGTCTGGGGAGGAAGGCAGGAACAACCCACGGTGAGCCCAGCTGTCTGCCAGGTGCAGGTGGGTTGTTTCACAAACCTCCCATCCTGCGTAATTTATTCCCAGGACTGGTTGTCATGACATACAAACCTGACCAGAGTGGAATCTAGTGCCAGACAGATATAAAATGATGGAAAAAATAATCTCTTGAACGATGCTGTGCTAAACTTCCACTTAGTATGTAATAGCATGTTTTTAGAATCACACACTGGGCTGGATCCAGACTTAAGCTGCAGCAATCTCAGCATAATGATTTCAGCTCAATTGGACAGAGGTGAGCATGATCTTATGCATGTTTAGCCAAAGAAAAAGGTCCTACAAGACCATCCCAGCATTCTCCAACTGGCCATGTGGGTACGCAGATGCTGGGAGTGGTAGGATTTTTTTTCTATCTAAACTTGCGTAGGCTTGCACTCCTAAGCCGTTCCCATGCCTTTTTGCGTTCAAGGATAATGGTTTATGGCAGTAATTTCCATGGGAGGCCGTCGTCATTCTTCACTGATCCACCCATGTTTTATCAGTGTTCCACCTGCTCTCTTTTTCAGAGCTTAACTGGAAAACTCTGCTTACTCAGAAAGGTCCAGATAAGACACACATTTCCCGATAGGAGGAATGCTTCCTGGAACTTTGCTCCCACAGGGCTTGGGCTCTGCTATGGTTTCAGTGCCTGCAAAGAATTTCATCAGTGCTTCCTTTTCCGCGTCTCCTGCCCCATTTACTTATTCAAGCATACTAGTTGTTGTGAGCTTGCACACCTGCATACCTACATATAGTGTGAGTCTTTTTAAAATACAGGCATGCCAGATTTTCAAAATACTCCAGGTTTGCCATTTTGCCATCTGTGGTCTGCTCTACCTCCATTTGAGGTTCCATTTTTCTTCTGTGTATGTACTTTAAAATGTTAGTGCTTGTGGGCCATGGTCAGCAATTAGTGAAATGGAGCCTCATCTTTCCTTTCTCATAATTAATGACTAGGCAGCGTAAGGCTTTCTTTCGGAAAAATAGAAGGGGCATCAGAGGAGGGATGCCACATTAAACCGTATTTCAAAGGAAACAATCCCAAATGCCATGGCTGTGCAAGTTGGGGCAAGTGAAGGGGAAAATGTCAACGTGGCAAGTGCCAACTTTATGTCATTCTGGATTTCCTGTGTAAAATACTCTTGTTTAAGAAAGGTGTGCAAATGGCAAACGCTGTGGGAGAGAAATATTAAGGTAACATTAGCAAGTTCATATAAAGAAAACCTGTATAAAAAGTTTTATAGATGGTATCTGTCATCAAATAGATTAGCTAAGATGTTTCCAAATATGTCAAATGGATGTTGGAAATGTAAACATAAATTGGGTACCTTCTATCATATGTGGTCGACTTGCAATAATGAGAAAAAGTATTGGATTAAAATACACAAATGGCTTGAGGAGATGTTGCAAAAACCTCTAACATTTAAACCTGAAGTTTTCTTATTAGGCATTGTGCCTGATGATGTTGGTAAACAAGCAATGTATTTGATTCTACATGTAACCACTGCGGCGAGGATTGCATTTGCTCAACACTGGAAAAGTGAAGAACCACCTACCAATGAACTGATGCTAAAAAAGATCCTGGACTGTGCAGAAATGGATAGATTGACTTTGTCATTGAAGGAGAAAGAAGATACTGATTTCTATCAAACTTGGGACTCTTTTTATCATTGGCTAGCGAAATGGGACTTTGAATAGATTTAAATATGTTTCTAAGTTATCACAAATGGAAAAAAATGTGGGGGCTGACCCGACAGGTCCGATGTTTCTGATAATTGATGTTGTTTTTAGTTTTTCTTTGTTGTAGGGTTATTTTGAATAAAACTTATTATAAAAAAAGAAAAAGAAAGGTGTGCACAGACACAAAACTCATACTGCTGGGAAGTGGGGAAATTCAGGGAACAGGCTGGGTGGAGAAGGTTGAAGTGGGCAGGGTAGGTATGCAGGTATGTCCCTAAAAACTGTTGGAAAAAGGGCTGAAAAATGGAACGTGCTATGCTGGTTATGGTATGCTGGGAGTTTAGGCCTTCCTCCTTGCACAGAATCATCCCATGAAAGCACCAAGACCTGCAGCTACTCCCCTGTGAGGAAAGGTAACCCAGCTGGGAATGTCCAGTACAGAGAAAAGGCAAGTAAGGGAGATAGGATAGACATATTCAGCACCATGCATGGTGTGGAGACAGTGGAGGAGGAGACCTTTTTCTGCTTCTCTTCTCATAAAATGGCCCCACTGGGGTCTCTGCAAATCAGGACAGGTAAAGGAAGCATGATTTTTCCCCTCCAGGTGCAGCACGTTGGAGAGGGAAGCAGAGAGGCTGCAGGACTGCCAGGAATTGCTGCATCTTCAGGCAGGGCTCTTCCATTTCCCGTCCGCCCCCTGGAAGACTCCCAAAGGCCCCTCTGCAAGATCATAACCCAAGAGAAGAAGGAAGAGCTGTACTGGGTGGTCCTCCAAGGTCCCAGAGTGGTCCCACTTGAGGCATTGAGGGGGCTTTCCCTGGGAGGGGAGGGGCAGAGACCAACACTGCCAAGATATAACAGATCCTTACAGTGTCTCCTCCTCCCTTCTTCTGGCTTGGGAACCCTGCACTTAATCAGTGAAGTGCTTTGTAGGTGGCGAAGAGATTCTGTCCTGTATTGGAAGTTCCTAAGCTCCATTGTCTTCATTTCACATGCTAGCAAAGTTATGCTCAAAATCCTTCAAGCTAGGCTCCAGCAGTTTGTGGGCCGAGAACTACGAGAAGTACAGGCAGGGTTTCGAAGAAGCAGAGGAACTAGAGATCAAATTGTCAACATACGTTGGATCATGGTGAAAGCTAGGGAGTTTCAGAAAAACATCTACTTCTGCTTCATTGACTATGCTAAAGCCTTTGATTGTGTGGATCACAACAAATTGTGGCAAGTTCTTAAAGAGATGGGAGTACCTGACCATCTTATTTGTCTCGAGAAACCTCTATGTGGGTCAAGAAGCAACAGTGAGAACTGGACATGGAACTACGATTGGTTCAAAATTGGGAAAGTTCAGCAAGGCTGTATATTGTCCCCCTGCCCATTTAATAATAAACTAGTAGCAGAAAACCAGGTAGAAGCTATTATAGTAACATTTGTCTATCTAATATTCAGCCAGAAACCTTTTATCTCCTCATAGAATGTTTTAAAAATGTGTCAAAATGTTCACACTGGGACATATTTTCCCTGTATATACAGAAATGGAGTGGCTGACACTATTCTTCCTGCTCTATGCAGGAAAATCTTTCTAAATCTCTGTCTATTATATATATGTGGGCACAGAGTCTAGAGCAGAAAGGTGGATGAGAAGGTAAGCCTAGTTTTAATGTTGTGATCTAAATTTCCATGTCTTGTTATGAAGTTAAGCCTTGAGATTGCCATAGTACACGTGTCTGCTCAGAAAAAAACCCATAGTTTCCAGTAGAGAATGCTGGAGGTTGAAATACAATGGCATTTATTCCAACCCGAATTCTATTGTCTGATACCTTTGTTCCAAATGAAATCTCAAAAGAGAAGGTTTGCTAGCGACAAGTTCTTCTTTTCATAGGAATGAATGTAACTCTTATGCAACTGGAGCATTATCATTAAGAAACTGCATAGAAACGAACAGCAGCCCTCAGCGTGCTTTTTTTTTTATTTTGCTCAACTTCCTTTCTGGCACCAATTAAAGTCGTGGAAGTACAAAGTCTAGTCAAGCCCATCAACAATTGCTAGAATTACTTTTGACTTCGACTGGGACAGTTCTCCATCTCTTTTTAAGCTCTTGGTAAGTGGCATGTGTTATGTGTCTGTTTCTTATTTAATAGTCAATAATTTATGTAAATAAATCTATGTAAATATTGAAAAGTACTTTACACTTGACTTGGAAAGCTCCAGGGAAGGGAAATTACATTAAAGTAATAATTAATCCCTGGAAGACACTAGCAGAAAATTAGCAGAAACTTCTAATATAGGAGAAACTTCTGCTAATTTTATAAGCAGGAAGTTCTCAGTTGGGTAACTAAATATATTTTACAAGTTAGACAAGATGGAATTACCTTTACCTGATTTTCCTAATATATTTTTGCTTGATTTTTTGTGTTAAATTTGAATGGTGCTTAGACAGAATTATTGAAGGAAATACAAGAGGCAGAATCCCTAAGAAAGTGGGGAGAGTGACGGCAGCTAGAAAATCGTATGTCACATTGTCTAGCAGGAGGAGATGGACTTAGAAACGTGCAGAATTAACGTTTGAGTAAACATGGATAGGCATGGGATGCAAATCCCATGGAACTGAAGTCACACCTTTATTCCTGTCTCATGCTTTCCGTGGGGCTAATAGTCTGGAAAAATTTGTCAGATGAATAATGTGTAAAGAATGTATATTGAGAAAGACAAGAGACATTCTAAGGTCACGACGGTGACTGCTCTGGTGGCCTTTGTGGGGGTTTGCTCATATGTTCGTCACCCCTGGATGCTTTCGCCACCAAGGAGGGATCACGGATGTATGAAGCTGCCCTCCGGTCTGTAAGATCAGTGCTGAGTCTGAGAAAGCCCTGGGCAGGAGGCCCCCACCGGGTTCTTTCTTTGGCAACAGACTTCGTCTAGCAGTATCAGTACAAGAGCAGTAGCAAACAACTGAGTCCAGGTGCCACCATTTTCATTTTCCACATTGCTGGCCCCTGTGTATTGTTTCATTAGCATTATATTGCATTTACACCTTCTCTTTTTTCCTCTTGTGAGGAACTTTTCTAAGCATTGATTGATCAGAATTATATTGAATAGTTTTCTGTTGGAGATCTCCTAACAACCAGAAGACATGGTGCAGTTATTCTTTTAGGGTTGGGGTTGACGTTAGGGTTAGGTGAGATCCAAGCCCCAGTGTTTTATTTCCTGCTTTCCCACTATATGACCTCTAGGGGCACTGTGGCGCACTTCTTGTTGTTGCCGCTGGGAGCTGCAGGGAAGTACCCTTCTAGCAATTATTATTATTATTATTATTATTATTATTATTATTATTATTATTATTATTAGAACATTTCTATGCCCCCCCTTGCCGAAGCCTTGGGGTGGCTTACAACACAATAAAATACAATACAATACAAAAATAACAATATAAAATTAAAATTAATAATATAAAATAAATAATATATAGATATATATAAACGATATAAAAGAAGTTATAAAAGAAAAGTTAGAAAAGAAAAGAAGCAATCTACTTGCACACCTCTTAATTTGGAACCGAGTTGCTAAATCCGTGCATTGCTTTACTAAAAGCTGGTCCTTTTTGAGAGCTACACACAAAAGTTCACCCAGCCGCCTTTTCCTGCCCACCCCCTCTAGAGCTGCATCAGTTACTCTCTTTAACTGGTTCAATACGTTGATTGAAGCATTTATATTGACCAAAATGTGGAAGTCGCTGATCATTGTGCACTGGTTTTCTTTTTCTGAAAAAATAAAATGCTGTCATTTTTAATAAATATGCTTTTAGAAACTGTCTGCAGTAAAGATGGGAGGATTAGAGAGAGCTGTAAATATTGAGCTTCCAGGCTGACCCAGCTAAGTGACGTGCATTCTTCTTGCTGAAACATGTTGTACTTTGGTAGGCTGAGTAAAAGTTTCCACATGAACCTTCAGCACTGATCCTCTTCCATCAGAATTGATAGATTCAGGGTGTAATTTGGCCACCCCCCCCCCCACACACACACTGGACTGACATAAGTCCAAACCTGGAAGTTTACTTGCACCCTGCTGAGATGCACCCACAGCCATTCTCACAGCCTGATTTTTATCTAGTCAATGCAACAACTACATAAATTTGCAATGCCTGGGGCCTGAAGGAACTTTGAGCTGCAGTTCTGAACAATCCTATGTGGAGGATTCACTGCTGGTAAGGATCGCAGTGAGAAGGTCTTGTTGGTTGGCGGATCAGGCTTTGGAGAGGGTGGATTTAACCTAGTCCTGAACGGGGTTGCACTCCCTCCTAGGGACAAGGTCCGCAGCTTGGGAGTGCTCCTTGACCCGGAGCTTTCATTGGAAGCTCAGGTGACAGCAGTGGCGAGGAGCGCTTTCCTCCAGCTTCGGCTGATTCATCAGCTGCGCCCCTACCTAGAGTACGACTGCCTGGCGACAGTGACACACGCGCTGGTGACTTCCTGCCTTGACTTCTGTAATGCGCTCTACGTGGGGCTACCCTTGAAGACGGTCCGGATACTTCAATTGGTGCAAAATAGAGCTGCCAGGCTGCTGACGGGGACTGGGCGTTATGTTCACATGACTCCAGTTCTCCGTCAGCTTCACTGGCTTCCCATTGAAATCCGGGCCCAATTCAAGGTGTTGGTGATGACCTATAAAGCCCTAAACGGCTTGGGTCCTGGCTACCTGAAGGAGCGCTTACGTCCATATACACCTGCCCGCCCCTTGAGATCTGCGGGAGAGGCCCTTCTCCGGGAACCCTCCGTGAAAGAAATTAGGAGGGTAGGTACTCGGAGGAGGGCTTTCTCTGTGGTGGCGCCCAATCTATGGAATGTGCTTTCCAGAGAGGTTTGCCTGGCGCCATCGTTATTTGTTTTTCAGCGCCAGGCGAAGACCTTTTTATTTAAGCGTCGTTTTAATTGTTAACAGTATTTGCTTATTTATCTGGCCAGGGCAACTTCTTTTATATTGTTATTTATTTTATATTGTTATTTTTATATTGTTATTTTTGTATTTTATTTTATGTTGTGAGCCGCCCCAAGGTTTCGGCGAATGGGGCGGCATAGAAATGTTTTAATAAATAAATAAATAAATAAATAATAAGGTGGCCTGCGGACAGAGGGACCCATTCTCTTGGAGCCAGCACTGTCCAAATTACATTTCTTGTGGCACAGAAGCTTAGGATGCAGGGTGATTTCATTTAATTAACATTTGGGTGCTTTGCTTTTCTTATTTCTTCTTTAACCAGTGGTACTGTCAAAATGAACCCTTCAGTAATCATGAGTCAGCCCCAAGCTACCATTGTACAGCACCAAAGCTCCGACTGGCAAACGGATTTATTGGACTGCTTCAGTGACTGTGGAGTATGTGAGTAGCTTTGGAAATCCCTTTGTGGGGCTGTCATAACATTGTCGAGAGTGTAGATTCAGCACTGGAAAGCACTATCTACAAGTCCAGAAGGTTTGCATGATGGAAATAGCTCTCTGTAATTCAGCCTATCAGTGTTTACAAAGGGAAGGACTTGAGTTGGGAGCGCCAGAATCAATATACACGCTGAATGCAGCTGTCCTATTTTGTATTATAAAGCCATTGCACCCACCAGTCCTGGCAATTGAGCCTCAGTTCTTTTCGACCAAGGTGGTCCTGGCAGGCCCAAGATCAGGACAGCACCTTGCACAACTGGGCAATTGACGACCCCAACAGTCTTCATATATCCACTTGCACCCCCGAGATGCATGTGATCTTAGTCACCTCCAGATAAATCTCATAATCCCATCAAAGCGTAGTCCAGAAAGAAATCTCTCTGCTGTTGTCTTAAAACCTAGGATAGGATGGGTAGATATTGTTACCAAAAGCCAGGAGGGAAGGCAGTGGGAGTGGGTCCTCCCAGAACCTTGAACTATATGTACGAATGTGATGTTTCATAAGACTGGTTTATTTATTTGTTAGATTTATATCCTGCTTTTTCCCAATGAACTCAAAGTGGCTTGCATAATTTTATTCCCACTGCTGCTCTCAATCTAGCCCCAGAACAACAACCCTGTGAGGTAGGCTGGCCCAAAGTCACTTAGTTGGCTCCATGGCTGAGCGGGGACTAGAACCCAGACCTCCCAAGTCCCAGTCCCGCACTCTTAACCGCTGCACCACACTGGAGCTCTGTTGGGCTTTTATACCCTAGTTGGGCAAACCTCTGAACTATGAAATTCATTGCAAGATGTAGTGAGGACCCAAAGAAGAGATTAGGCAACGTCATGCAGGGTAAGGGTATCCACAGCTGTTTGCAGGGATGTACAGATCTGGTTAAATCCATTCCACCTGTGCTTTGGCAATTGCCAGGCATCTTTTCTTTCACCATCTGCTCAGCAATGGAATATTTCTGCTGCTGTTGTTACCAGACTTGTGTTCAGCTTGCACCAAGTTGCATCATTTTCTCTTGCACTATTCTGTATGTGCAAATTCATGTTAAGTCCGCCCCAAAAGTGAAAACCTGCTCTGCAAATCCACAGAATCTATGTGGCTCCAACAACACTAGTTCATGGAGGAATCCACAGGTCAGAGTCCTAGAAGCTGGTGGTTATCAGAATCCATTGCAGGTTTTTCCAGCCTCCTTAGCTGATGGCCAGGAGGGCTATACATTAACTCCAGTAGCAGAACGCTGGGCTACAGAAGGCATCCGTCTGATTCAGCAGGGCTCTTCTTGCATTGGTACCTTGCGTCAACACCACGCCCTTCCAAGCGATGGCCTAGAAAGGCTTTCATGCTTTCCTCTGGCTCCGTCTAGGCATCTGTGGAACCTTCTTCCCGCTGTGTCTGGGATGCCAGATCGCTTCCGACATGGATGAGTGCTGCCTCTGTGGAGCAACCATGGCAATGAGGTCTGTCTACCGGACGAAATACGGCATCCCGGTAAGCTCAGCACTGAACTTTACTGTTCTCTCTGATTTCTTGAATTTGTATAAAAGAGGTACTTAGTGGCACTCAAAGATTCGTCTGTTATTAATATTTCAGAAGATTTTCCAGAATGTCCGACTTCCAGTTGTTTTACCGAGTCATTCTTTGTATTGTTTATTTTAGCTATTTATTTTTCTGATTTTATTATATTTATATTGCATTTTATGGTCTATTGTAAAACCTGCAAAAAGCTTCAGCTGTGGGGCAGTACAGAAATGAGAAGGGGAAGGGGAAGCTGCTCTAAGGGAGCACCTATCAAAGACAGATCCCCTCTCTATCTTTGTGCATATAGAAGGACTACGAATTCATATTAGATGGATCCATACTGGCTCGGTTGCCATCACTTTCCCCAAAAGAACTCTGGGGATTGTAGTTTAATGAGTGAGCTGAGAATGCTCTTCGAGTTTTCACTATACTTTGCAGGAGACCTTGCAAGGAAGAAAGGACAGGCTAAGTCTAGTACAGAGGCACCACTGTTTATGAGGTTCGCCTGACAGATAATAATTTCTGATGGAGGCATAACAGAACAAGCATGAAACGTTTTTTGTACAGCATGAAGCGTGTCCTGCCAAGGCACCAGGCAGGGAGACAGGGTGAGTCTATACTTCACCAGCGGGCAGCTCAGGTCCCACAAGCTGCCCATGGCTTACAACCAACTGTCTGCCTGCTGCTCAGCTGATTAGCTCTGGAAACTGGTGGAGAACGCTCCACAGGGCAGTGAAATCACAGCAACCTGTCCGTGGGTTTTCTCTGATCCCTTTGGCCAGGGGCGGTGGGGTGTGCGCGTTTGCTTGTGTGCATGCATATGGGGAGAGTCATGCACCATGCAGAATTTAATAATATACTCCTCCACCTTACTGTACTTTCTGTTATTTAGTTGAAATTCTTTTAAATGGTATATTGAAATCTGATTTTTAATATTTCTATGTGAACTGCTTAGAGATGTCATTATATTAAGTTGCATTTAAGTATCACCAATTAATAAATAACCCAAGATCCCCATTCTATGTAGCCCTCAAGGGCAAAACTGGTTACCCACTCTGCTTAAAGGAGTCTGCAAGTCTGCATGGGCAAAAAAACAAGAAATGAAATGAACTTTAGTCTTGAACTTTTAAAAAAGAGAGAGAGAAGGAGATGTTGAACTGAAAAACATTAATCTGAAAAAATATAAATCAAGTCGGCATAATCAGCATTTTCACTTTTCCCATTTTTCAAGCTGTAGATTATTTATAATTGATGGATATTGGTAGAATATTTGTGTTTCTTTGTATTATTCCTTTGCAAAATTAACAAATACAAATGGGGAGGGCAGGCACGATTCATTGCATGTTTGAAGGGAAGTAAAAGTCTACGACATTCTGCAGGGCTGGCTAGGACTGGCTGCAGTGAGACTGTGCTGGGGAAAGTTCAAGGCAGGAGAAGAAAAGGAAGAACTAGTATGAAATGGACTGAATTCATAAAGGAAGTCACAGCCTTGAACTTAGAAGCGTTGAGTGGATGTGTCATGGACAAAACATTCTGGAGGGCTTTCGTTTGTAGGATTGCCTTAAGTTGGAGACAACTTGATGGCACACAAAACCAATAGCAAAAGACACTGTGCAGCTCTTCACTTTTCTGCCCTTTCCTGGATTTTCTGCAATAAGAAAAAAAAAACTGATAGAAAGACATAGGAGAGTAACAAGCAAAATTCTGTGCATAAAGGAGTGTGATGGACTTAGTGTGCTGCTTACTATCCAGGTTTGATTTTTCAGGAACAAACTAACAATTTCAGCAGATAGGACCCAGTGTTTTCTGAAAAACACTGAAACTGTATCTCTTCTAGTGGATAGAGTTTCCTTTCAGGATTAGTTGCATGGTTACAATCCATTCAGAAATCATGCACTAAACAGAAAGATATTGAAAGAGTATTGCAACCAATTCTGTGTCACTACATGGTGAAATCATTGAGAGGAAGTGGACAATTAAGAGAGCAATGTTATTCATCAGCAAATTATTATTATTATTATTATTATTATTATTATTATTATTATTTCTTCATTTTGCTGTTATCCCATAGGTTTTAGTACACTTGTCTTAAATGGACATAATATTTCAGCACCTCCAACACACACTTCTGTAGGACACAAAATTAGTTCAGCCTAGCTTTCAGCCTAGATGTTCTTTAGATTTTAAGCCCATGTTACCAGTAGAACTTTTGGCAAATTAACCGATGAACTAGAGGAACACCAGCCACTTCCTATATCCAGGAACAACCTATTGACATAAACCTCTGAGCCCACAGAAATTATTCTGAGTACCAGAATCGAGCATAGTCCTTCTAGAGAAAAATCTACCCAAACCTTGCTTAATGTTAGCAGCATTATCAGGAGCTGGGGGTCATTTGTTCTCATAACTATGAAACATCCTTATAATTGTACTGCACATCTCCAAAAGCTTCACCAGCAGGTTGAGTTTACTTTCTGCCCAGCCTTGCTGTCTCTCTCTCTTTTCTTCTTTTCCTTTTGTCATCCAAAAATACTACCTGCACTGTTAAACCCCTATTTTATTTACAGGGATCCCTCTTGAAGGATTTTTTCGTTATGACCTGCTGCCCGCATTGTGCTGTCTGCCAGCTCAAGAGAGACATCAATAAGAGGAAAGACATGGGGATGTTCTAAAAAGGTTGGTTCAGGTACAGGGTTTAATGTTACCCACCGGGCTGTTGGAATTGGAAGAGTTACCCATTGTTTCCTCTAATTCAGCAGGAAAGCCTTACGTGAGGCATCTAAAAGCATGAATGCCATTTCTCAGAATTCCAGGATACTCCAACAACTTGTTGTAAGGAAGGGCTCGAGGGGTCAAAGAACCAGGGCTTTGGCAGGAGAGCATCACCTGCCACCTCCTCGGCCTTCCCTGGTCCCTCACAGCAACTGTGGGGAAATAGCTCCTCCAGGCCCCACTCACAGAGCCGGCCTCATGACAGAGGAGCTCATGGAGCAGCCATGGCACGTGCTGCGCCTCTCATGAATATGCAGTTCCCAAGCAGGGATTGCCATGGCTTGTGGAACCTGGCTGACAGGAGTTATCGGAGGGTTAAGCAACCCTCCTGCAACCCACGGTCTATTTTAGGGTTAAGTGAGGATCGTGTAACTCTCAGTAAGGTTTGCATAACACAAGGGTTGCAAATTCGTAATTGCAGGTGGCATTTGCTGCAAATCCTCAAGGGTAAATTGACACAGGTTAGTGAGAGTGAGGTAGCTGAGGATGACTTGTGGCTGGAGGACCCATTAGCTTTACAAGTGCCCTTCTCTGGGGAAGATCAAAGCTGCTAAAACTGGGGCAGAGATATGGAGCAATGCAGTGGCTTGACTTGTGGAAGGTTCCTTCTGGAAGGGGCTATGGGGGCCACCATGATGAGACCCAACAGATCGACATTTAGCACTTTCCCACTGCTCAAGCATGACCAGAAAGAGAAACTGGATGTAGGCATGTGGTCAAGAGCCAGCTTCATTCCTAATGGCTGGAGTAATTGGGGTGCCCAAACTGACCCCGGGGCCAATCAATCCTTGGGGTCCTTGGGCATCACCCAGAGCCCCACATAGATTGGAAGAGTTTGCTGTTGAAGCACAGTTTCTGCTTTTCTTTAAATACATCTGGCCCCTTACTGCAGCAATGATCCTGGCCTAACAGCAAGCATTCTGGGAAATCAAATGAATGGCTGAAGCACAGCTTGGGGCAGCCATTACAGCTCATGAGGGCACTTTGCCCAGACCTTCCTCCATCTTAGGAGCCAGCTTGGGATGCAAAACCACTTCCTCGCGTCTCAACCTCTTCAACATCTTCAGAAGAGGCACTGTTAGCCATAACAACATCACCACATAATGTCCCACTGCTGGACCTTCTTGGTGGTGGCACATCCTCTAGGAAACCTTCCCCCATGTGATGGGGCAGACAGAACATGCTTGTATGAAAATGCACTTGTTCACACAGATTTTTTTTGGTTTGTAATTAATTGCAGTTAATTAATTCTTTGGCTTGTAATTGCAATTGCAATTAATCATAGGTTGCTCCATCTTACACTTCTTGTAGCTGGAACTGTGTTTAATCATGTAATTACACATGCTACCTACAGGCATAAGTAAACAAATCTAAATCAAGTGGGTGGGATCCACTTTGCTTCCTATAAGAACCCTGAGGACTAGAACCTCACCCTTCATACAAAACTCCACTCCTGGTTTTCCCTCCAAGCACTCTTTTTCATGTTGTGTTAAATGCAAAGGAAGGGTCTGCCCTTTGTGGTCTTGCTGGTTTTCAAGCTTTAAATAGCAAGCAAGCAAGAGTCAGAAGTAGAGAGAGGGCTTTAAAAAAAAAAAGCTTTCCCCAGGCGATTTTCCCAATGAAATCGCCACCCAAATCTTCCTTTGCCATGAGCATCTTTCCTCATGTTGGTGCTAGCGGCAGCTATTAGGGTATGCTTGGTCCTAGTATTTGCTTGTTCCCAGCTATGGGCATGCAAGACTTTTCTCCCAGAGGGAGGGCCTGTGGAGCAGAACAGGCGGAACAATTGCCCAAAGGGCTGCAGGAAGTGTCTTACCTTGCTCTGAACGTTGGTCCTTCCTTTTCTTTCAGCTTTACCTTTATCCAGAGCATCTACGTCCTGGGTTTCAACGCCATGCTATACAATCTAGTCATCCACCTGTCTGAATAATAAGTTGTTTTCCATCCAGCTGGATGGAGAGACTTTCAAAGTATATATTTACAGATGCTATTTGGTTACTTAAAAATCATTTAGAATGAGTAAAAACTGATGTTTGCCGCACATGCAACGTATCCCGAAGATGGAAAAACAGCGATCAATATTTCTCTCCATTCCTTTGCAGGCTCCTCCCTTAGTGCAGTCGATGCATTTTACATAACACCTTTCAGCTTTATACAACTTTCTTCAATAAGATGGCCCCCCTCCTGATCTTCTGGACTATAGGTCCCATAAGCCCCAGTAAGAGTGAGGAATGGTCAGGAATCCCGGGAGTTGTGTTTGAAATGTGCGAAGAGACCAAACAGACTGCAGGGGACGCGTGTTTGCCAGGCGTCTGTGCATTCGTTGGGGGCCTTTGCACAGCCCGAGAAGCCACCCTGCAAATGAGCTATGCCGGGCGACTAGCCGGAGAGCAGGGATAGCCGCTGCTGCCGGAGGCATCCCAGCTCCTCTTGCCTCCTGCCCCAAATACCAGGAGAGTGCGGCCAGCGCTGGGCAGAGCCAGCTGGGCGGTGCCGCCAGGCGTGAGCTGCCTCTTCTGGGCCAGGCACAGCAGTGGCATGGAGGACGATCACGGATCGTGCAACAGCCTCCGTTCTTGCCAGGGACTTGAGCGCAGGGCCGGGGCAAAGTGGACCGGAGGCTGGGGAGCGAGCCACTATGGATTCCCCCACATCCCTACCCCGACATGCCAGGAAGCCACAGTGAGCTGGACGGAGGATCAGGGTCACCTCAGCCGCTGTCCTTCCTGCCCTCTCATTCCTTCAAGCCGCTGCCAGGCTCTGAGAGAGCTTCGGGGCTCCATCTGCTGGCCTAACCCGAACCCTAACCCAGTGGCCAGGGCCCTTGTGAGCACCGCATGGGAGTCCCAGAGAAAGCCTCATCAGAACGGGCTCTGCCCTCCAGACTAGACGCCGTCTCCGCAGCACAGGTGCCCAGTGTGCTCTTGCTCCTGGCTCTCCGCCCAAGGTTCTCTCCCAGTTGCTCTGACGCGTCAGTCTCTGGCTCCTGGCCTGCCTTAACTATGCCCTTGTTTATTGCACTGTACTTTGCTTACTCCTGGTTCTGATTGTTTAATAATAACTTGGACTTGGTACTGGATGGGCGATTGAACGCTGGGCTTATAACAACTTGACTGAGTTGTCTAGGTCCCAGTGTCCCTGTGTAACAACTTGACACCTACACTCCAGGGTCCAACAGTGATATCCCAGGCAGGCTGCAGGGAGGAGAGGCCCCAGTCTTCAGGCCACTGTGTTCTTTGGCTCGCCGCAGCTGCCAGTCTCGGCCGTGCAATGGGGACCTGAGGCAACAGCAAGGAAAGGGCTGCTGACCAGGCCCCCTTATCTCCTGCTCCAAAGCAGGCCTGATCCACTCCCAGGCATGAGGAGGGGTGATCGGCTGGACAGCACTGCCGAAAGGAGAGGTGCAGCTCAGCTGATTCCCCCACTCCTCTCAGATTCAAGTAGGGAGGCGATCGGGTGGGCTGTACCGACGCCTCTGCTCGCTCTTCTGTGGGAGGAAGGGGCGTGTGCTGCCCTCCTCAACCAAGGGAGGGATGGGCTTGCCCCCTTCTTTGCTCCTGCTGGAGGGAAAGCTGCACGTGTCAGGGAGAATCGGGGCTAGGTGGGGTATCATTCTTAGCATGCCCCAGTCTGGCCAAGGCTCCCCCTCCCCTGCTCCTGATCTGGGGAAAGCTGCCCAAGCAGGACTGGGGTGATCCACTTGGATGTGCTGTCCCATCTGGGGGTACCCCCACCCAGCTTGTTCTCCCCACTGCCGTTCACATGGTAGAGGTCTCCTGGGGCAAACTGTTGTTATTTGGGCCCATGATGAAAGGCAAGAGTCACCAGAGAAAACCATAATGCTGGGGAAAGTTAAAGGCGGAAGAAGAAGGGGGAGCCCAGCGTGAGCTGGACGGACTCTCTGCAGAAAGCCACAGGCTGAAACCTTCAGGAGCTGAGCAGGGCTGCCAAGGACAGGCCATCCGGGTGGGCTTTCATTAATGGGTGACCATAATTCTGAGATGAATTTCATAGCAAGCCATTGCATGACGCTGCTTCCATCTGGTGGCCACAGCAAGGGCATTCGGCGCAAGTGTTCTGTTGCTTATACGCAGGGCTGAAACGCTGTGCTTATTTCCATCATGTTTGGGCTCTAGGAACTCGCTTTCAGTAGAACACACCTCCTCAGCGTGGTGACTGGCTCACACTCTTCCTGCGGTCATGAACAAAAGCATCAAGGCATGCTGGAAAGCAACTACTTCTGTGAAACATTTTTAAAAATGATTACATTGGTGGCATCAGACATGTGAAAATAAATCATTTGAACACCAATCTTACCTCAAAGTTTGGCCCTCCCTGCAAATCTAACTGATTGATCAGAAGGATAATCAGGCAGAAGTTGTTCTTAGAAACATGGTTTCTCTTTGATGATATACGTTGATGCAGCTTTAACACTCCAGCCTTCACCAAGTTCACATTTCCATTTTTTGGAAAGGGGTAAAAAGCAACAGAGGGGTGCAGGTGGCGCACTGGTTTAAACCGCTGTGATGCTGTGCTTTGTTGATTGAAAGGTTGCTGGTTCGAATCTGCTCAATGGGGTGAGTTCCCATTGCTCCGTCCCAGCTCCTGCCAACCTTGCAGTTCGAAAACATGCAAATGCAAGTAGATAAATAGGTCCCACTTGGGTGGGAAGGTAACAGCATTCTGTGCACTTCGGTGTTTAGTCATGCCGGCCACATGACCATGGAGACTGTCTGTGGACAAGCGCTGGCTCCCTCGGCTAGGAAACGGAGATGAGCAGCACCCCCTAGGGTCAGACATGACTGGATGTAACGTCAAGGGGAAACCTTTACCTTTAATAAGCAAGAAGGTGGAGAATCGAAAAATGATTATTTTGTGACTGTAACAGAGCTTAAAATGAGTTCTTCAAGGGTATATACAGGAACAATATTCCTAATTTTTTTCCCAGAAACTAAGATGAATAATGCAAAACCAGCTGCATATCTTGATACCTTTGCTTCTGTAGCATTGTTACCTTGAATTTCTCAAATAAATCACCTTTAAAAAAAAAAAAGAAAGAATGTTAACACAGCTAAGATTGTACAGAATTTGGGAGCCAAGGAAAAGTCAAATATTTTGTGATTTTGATATATGATTTGTGAGTTTCTCTGAAGACACTCAGAGACCAAAAGACCAAAGAAATAAATAATTTATGAACAAAGAAATAGGGACCAAGTAATTGTATAAATGAACTGAACAGATGTTGTTTTGCTCATGCAGAACTCTTTCCATGTGCTAACTATACCAGGAACTCCTCAGAGGAGTGATGGTGTGTTCTTCCCATCTTGAAAAGGATCAACAGCATCATCTTAGGGGCAAGAGGGGTACTGCAAGATCGATGTGTGTCTTTCCAGAAGCAAGTCCCACTTGAAATTTTCAGCTCAGAACTTTTACCAGAAGTAACTAAGCCTTAGGAGAGGCAAAATAGCAACGACAATGCTCAAAATCCAAGGAACCATCAAACAATTGGTGGTGAAGGAAAACAGAGGAGAGGCCAGGTGGGAAATTTTGTACTTGGAAGCCCAAGTAGCCAGATTTGGTTTGTAGGCCTAAATGTTGAAAATGCTTATTTTAGGGTAGGCGTGCTTACTTTAGGATATGTATATTTTCAGATATCCTTAAAATATACTCTAAAATTAATTTCTTTAAAAATGGGGCAGGGGAAGAACAAAGGTGGATTCCTATTTTTTCTCTTTTGTACAGAAAAGCTCATGGGTGGGGAGAGAAAATTAACCATTTCTGTGCAAGCAGCTAGCTCCCTGCAGCTGCTCCTTTCCAGCTTCTCCCTGTAGCATCTCCAAAGCTGTTTTCTGGTGCTAGAAAGAAATTTGGCTACAGGGCAGGTGGCCTCGGATAAAGTGATGGACAGGAAAGATAAAGTATCCCTTCCCTTCAGAGTTTTTCTGCACAAGGCTGCTAATGGTCTGTTTCATCAGACAATCATGATCCAAGCACTGTTCAAGGAGCATTTCATGCTTCTCTGCTACATAATTCTCTAGGTGGCATTGCTCTTTCGCAGAATGGCCCAGAACACAAGCCCAGAAATCACACTTCCTTTCTCTTTTACAATGAGATGCCACATTTCTCTGTTCTAAAAGGGGCATTTTAGCCCACCATTTTACTATGGCCTCAACGTTGAGATCCTTTGTAGGAATAAGCCCGAATCCTTTACATAATTTTTTCAGGGTTATTTTTCCTTCTCTGCCTTTCCCTGTATTCCAGTACATAGCTTCTAGGTGAAACTGATCCAGTGAGATTCCACAATTGTACCAATATGTCATTCTACCAGCCTCCAAAATACCAGACTTTCTCTGATTTAAAACAAAACAAAAGCTTGTAAAAATGCTTGGAAAGCACGGGCAAGATCCTGGAGGATGACAACCTCCAAACAACAACCTCCAAAGCACCTGCAAAGGACCAAAACTGCAGAATCACACATGTGTACAATAAACGGTTCATGCAGCAAAGCTCTAAACGAAGCCAAAGTGCTGATTAGACACAGACGTGACTGGGGGGGGGTGTCACACATTATGTAAGGAAACAACCGTGAATGGAAAATTATAGCTACACAATGAATGCTTGTGTAGAAAAGTTAAAAGGGCAAGCATGGTGCCGAGAGGTCTGTGTCCCCCTTGCTCTGCCACATGAAAACCGCCTGCATGGATTCCTTCAGGATCTCAAAGCAGGCGCCTCGCGGTGCCGCCCTCGCTGTGCCATTCCCTCATGCTGACCTGCCACGTGCCTCTCCCTGCCCCATCTCCATTTTTGCTCTCATCCCCGTCTTCCTTAAAACCTGGGGGCTAATCTGCCCCATCAGATTCCCCAGATCACGGCAAAGCTGCACTGAAGAACCTAAGCAGACGAGCCCTTTTGAAACTCAGTGTTCTGCTCTAGTATACACAGAAACAGAGAAACAGAGCGAGTCTGAAGGGGTCTCCTGGGCCATCTAGTCTGACCTCCGGCTCTAGCCAGCTCCACTCACGACATGCCTACCATGTGCATGTCTGGCCTATCTTTGAACACGCTCACCAATGGGGCCTCAACCACCTCCTGTGGCAGCCCATTCCACACTTAGGGGTTCTAACTGTCAGGAAGTACTTCCTGGCACCCACCCTAAATCTTGGTTCCCTGAGCTTTGCTCCCTTGGGAACGTGTCCTGCCCTCCACTGCAGGGGAAAAAAGGTAACGTCCCACATCTGCATGGCACCCCCTCACGTACCTGTATGTCACTAACAGGCCCCCTCTGACTCCCCTCCTCTCAAGGCTGAGAAGACCCAGCTCCCTCAGCCTCTCCTCATACGGCTTCCCCTGCAAACCAGCCACCATCCATGTGGCCCTTTGCTGCACTGATTCCAACCTTGCTATATCCCTCTCGTAATGAGGGACCCAGAACTGAACACAGGACTCCAGCTGCAGGCACACCAGAATCGTACAGAGTGGCAGCAATACCTCTCTCTCAGTCTAGAAGCCACGCTTCTGGCTATGCATCCAAGGGTGGTGTTTGCCCTCTTGGCTACCGCATCACACGGCTGGCTCATGTTTAGCCTGCAGTCAACCAGCACCCCAAGATCCTTTTCACAAGTGCTGCTCTCCAGCCACTTGTCCCCTAACTTGTACTTGTGATGCCCATTCCTATGCCCCAAGTGCAAGATCTTGCACTTATTTGCACTGAACACCATCTTGTTATCCCCAGCCCACTTCCATAGTCTGTCCAGATCCTTTTGGATCTGGAGTACCTGCTCCTCTGTTGTGGCTACTACCCCAGTTTTAGTATCGTCTGCAAATTAGATCAGCAGACTGGTCACCCCTTCTTCCATGTCGTTAATGAAAAGATTAAACAGGATCGGCCCCAGGACAGAGCCCTGGGGGACCCCGCTTGTCACCATCAGCCATCGCGATGATTCCCCACTAGTAGTAACCCTCTGCTTTTGGTCCATCAGCCACGCCCTACTCCATCAGACAGTCTATTTTCTATTCCAAAACTCCTCAATTTCTCAACCAGGATATCATGCGGCACTTTGTTAAAGGCTTTGCTGAAATCCAAGTAAATCACATCAATCGCATCCCCTCCATTCAGCCACCTCGAAACCTTGTCATAGAATTCCACAATCTGGCAGGACCTGTTTTTGCAGAAACCGTGTTGTGTGGCTACCAGCCTCCCTTCCCTATCTAGGGACTCCAGAGTGTTTCCTATTATGAGCTTTTCCTTTGTCTTTCCCACAGTAGATGTAAGGCTAACCAGCCTATAATCCTCCATGTCCCCTCTGCTACCCCTTTTAAAGATTGGGACCACTGATGCCACCCTCCCGTCCTCTGGAACCTCACCCATTCTCCACAAGGCCTCAAAAATGGAGGCCAGCGGGCGTGAGCACTCCCCTGCCAACTCCCTAAGTACATAAGTGAAACCTTTTTATACTATGTGAAAGAAGAAGAAAGCAAGAAATGTTTGCAGCTGTGCAAGTGAAACAGGGAACTTGTCACCCAGAGACAACACTGACACATGTGCAGCTTCCATAAAATGAGGGAAGCACGGAGTTACGACCCTCCTTTCCCCGCTTTTAGGGCTCCAGTGCCTGCCCCAACTGCAGAGGGAGCAGAATTTCAGAAAGTGAAGCAATTCTCTTCAATGCATATCCATGCCAGTTGAATTTCTGCCTGTCGCACTGCTGTTGGATGCTAACAAAACATGGAGAAGCAAATTCTAACAGGGGCTCAGCTTTATATGTCCTAATGCAAGCCTGGGAAATCTTCAGGGTATATTTGGGACCAGGAGCCCACTAAAAGGGTTTCTTCCCAAGAAGATGGTGCTCTCACCAAACCCTTAAGTCAGCAGTGTTTTTAAATATTAAATTTATCTGCCTTGCAGGCTGCGAGGTGAGAAGATCATACACAGACATTTAAAATAAAATAGAATGTTCTGTCTATAAGAAAAAATGGAATTTATTTTAAGAATATGCCAAACTGAGCCAATGAATAGCAAAAGGCAGTTCTTGTAGTTTTTGGCCCACATTCAATATCTTAAAACATACAGATTTTCTGACTGTGTTTCACAGCTTGTCTGGCATTCTTCATTTTGCCATTTTCTCACTGACAGAAGCAGTTTTTTTAAAGTCAGAATTCGATTTTACTTGCATTGATTGCAATGGTCAAGAATGTGCATTAGCACAAGGCTGAAGTGGCACTAACGGCCATCTCCCACAAAAACACAATGCCTGCCGTGGAATCAGCATGACTCAGAAAAAAACAGCCCCCTGTGGAATTTGCAGGGCAGA